CCAGGAAAGCTTCTGCAGGTGGAGTGCATCCTCCCAAAGACTAGCTCTGTTGAAAGTCCTGCCTCATGGTTTCAACCACATCAATGTTCTGAACACACCTGCAAAGCACCGCATGGTACAGCACAGTGAAGCAAGAGAGTCCTGGTGCATCCTCAGTGGGTACCATGCACAACACCTCCACCTTCTGTAGTAAAAGGATGGTTGGAATACCCACCAATCCTGTGCAAATGATTCAGCCCTCTTGTGTTGGGCTACGTCTTTGTCATTCGGGAGCCAGCCAGTACAATGCCGAAGTCATTGAGTAAAATTAGCCAAACCATTCCATTATGAGATATATACAGCATGCAGTATCCTGCTGTATCTCCCTAAATGACCTCAAGGTACTTCCTCTTACCCCCCTCCAAAAAAACAAAAAACAAAACAACTTTTTGGAGTCTGAAGATTTAGTCTTTCAGTTTTTGTTGACTTCTCTTTTTAAGTACACTTTTCATTGTTTCCTTAAATGGAAGAGAAGAGAAATAAGAATACCAATGGATCTTACATAAATATAACTTATAATCTTAATATATGTTAATAAATCACTGGAAAAGAAAAACTCCCTATCATTTCTTCAATCAGTGCTTTCTGGAGGCTTATAAAGAAAGAGAATTATAGTTCTGTAAAATGATAAATTTTCCAATCACTTTGAATCATGTACATGGGTTGCATTTTGCTCAGTATTAATTGAAGATCATATAATAACATTTCAATTTCCCATTAGATTCTTCAATCAGTAATCTGTTTACAAAATTAGTTAATTTTGCCATCGCTGCATACTCAGCCAACTTATTTTTCCAATCTTCAGTTGTTGGACATTCTACTTTTTTCCATTTACAAGCACTAGCAATTTTCCTGGTCATCATCAACTTAACTATGCTATATTCTTTGAAAAAGTCTCTGGTAAAATGTTCAAAAGCATATTCTTAGCACTCTATGTTTCCTATTCTTAAGGATTCTTGTATTTCTACATGCAACAGCTACCATGGAATCTTTTAATTTTATGACAAGTCTCCCACATAAAGTAAAAGTTCTCATATACATCATTGCATTTCCACCAATTTCATTATAATTTCTTGCAATTTTTCTATATCTTTCTGAATGCTTTACAACCCAAAAGAAAAATCTTAGAACAATTTTCTCTTAATCCTTGACTGCCAGTAAAATTAATGCCCTCCCATCAAGTTTCCCATTGCCATGGAATTGTTTCCTCTCCAAGATCCTGCATCCAAATTTCCATGTGTTTTTACCTAGTCTTATGTTAGTATGAAATTAAAGCAATCACTTGCAAAATTCTCATAACAGGTGACCCTATTTGTGTGTAAGCAGCTTTTCAAATTCTGTCTCTCTTTCCAAGATTGGATATCCAAAATATCTTGAAAGCAATTGGAAGAAGAAGAACCATTCTATAGTTTCTCCTTCATCTTTTACTTTTTGCCAAAGTCCAATTCATCCTTGAGGTTCAATTATATCTGTGTTAGTTATGAGATCATTCTTCTTCTTTCAATTATTTCCATATGCTTCCATTAATTGATTCATATTTGTAATGGAGATTATTCCAAACCATGAGACTTTTAATGTAGTCTGTTTTTGTAGAACTCTGAATTTTAATCCACCAAGTTTGGTCATTATCTTGAAATATAAGTCATTATGTCCTGTTACATTTATCCCTAAATAGTTGACTGGATTTGAAGTTATTTCAAAGGAATAATCATTGACAATATATTTATGGACTCCATGTTGTTTATCAATATAAGTAATCAGTCCTTCCTTTCTTTCTTTCAGACATGGCAACCTGAATCAAATGTCCAGAACACCAGTATCCCAACAAAGAACAAACCCAATGCATTCCCAGAATTCCCAGCTTCCTCTCTTATGCAGAATCTCTTCGGATCATTTTGACTAGCTTGGCTCTTTTCTTCTCCTTCATTACAGCTCTAGTGTTTTCACTCTTTCTGAAGCACAAGGACACCCCCATAGTCAAAGCCAACAACCAAAGCATCACCTACATCCTCCTCACCTCCCTCCTTCTCTGCTTCCTCTGCCCCTTGCTATTCAATGGGCAACCTGCAAAGGTGACCTGCCTTCTCCAACAAGTAGTATTTGGACTTGTCTTCTCTGTGGCCCTTTCCAGCATCCTGGCCAAAACCATCACTGTGCTTCTGGCCTTCATGGCAACCACACCAGGGTCCAGGATGAGGAAAAGAATGGGGAAAGGACTGGCCACTTCAATTGCCTCTTCTAGCTCCTTGGTTCAAGCAGTTATTTGTAAAATCTGGGTGACTACAACCCCTCCATTCCCAGATGTGGACACATGTTCACTGGATGATATCATCCTGGAATGTAATGAGGGCTTTGCTCCCATGTTTTATTGTGTCTTGGGCTCCCTGAGCTCCCTGGCACTAGTCAGTTTCATTGTGGCTTTTTTAGCCAGAAAGTTACCTGACAGTTTCAATGAGGCCAAATTTATCAGCTTCAAATTCTTCAATCAGTCTTCTGTTTACAAATTAGTTAATTTTGTGTGAAATTTTGAAATTAATTGGTAGTTGAGCAGTCATTATATATGTTTTCCTTCATCTTTTTGTTCTTGTCAAACCTTAATTCATCCTTGTTGTTCAATCACATTCCCACCAGACTGTTATTTGTCCTTAAATATTTTCCATATTCTTCAACTGGGGACATCAAGGGAGAGATTACAGAATACTTCCTGTAGAATACCAAATTTTCATTAAGCCATCTCTTTGGACATGATTATTACTTAAAGCTGAAACCTTTTAAACTGATGCTTTGACCCATAAATAATTTAGCATTCCTTCTTCAAGATCTGCTATTTCTAGCTCCATGAACCTATCATCAACATTTATAATCCAGTATGAAATCCAAGCCAGCTACTTAGTAAGATAGCTTTAGTTTATGTACTATGAGACCTCTTCTCTTTCTTTCAACTTAAAGAATTTTGGGGTAATCTTAAAAATTAGAATTTCACTGGAAATGCTGATGCTAAGAATGTTACAAGAATTTGAGTGTTTCTGCTGGTGAATGCTGCTGTTTGAATTCTTCTGGGCAAAACTGAATGCATGGGGGTGATACATCATGCAGAGTACAAATGCATATTCTTGTTCTTGTTTCCTGATTAAAGATCCTGTAACTCTTACAATAGTTCAGTACCAAAGAACTAGGAGCACAGACTGGCCTTGCAATTTGAGGCAAAAGAAATCCTGGGGAGATCTCCTGTATTCCATATCGTCAATAGCTACTCTGTAGGATGAATGAGTTGTAGGGCCACCCAGAACCTGCTTTCCACTCAACAGAGGTTCATCCCCAACTTTGAGTCTCACAACAAAAGCATTGTGAAAGTTCTCGTAGGAGGATGCCTCTCTGAAATCTCTGCCAATTTGGCCATCATTTCAGGAATACATAAGATGCCACAGGTAGTTTTATATATTCCACAGCTGGACTTTTTACAGCTGTGATACACCATCATCTTCAATTCAGCAAGCATTTTTTAATATGATCCCATGATACTTGGGTTAGCAAAGTGGTTATCATCACTTTGCCATTATTTAAGCACTTTTTAATGCAAAAATGCAAGTTATATTATTGCAAAGCCATTTGTTTAATAATATAGGAAAAGTAGGATGAATCTGAGTGCAGTCCCCAGTATCTTTCACTCTATTTTCAAAATCCCACTGGGATTAAAATTAGGACTATGGAGTTTAGAATTTTAGAGAGGCAAAAACCATTAGTCTTTTTTTCAACCCTGATAAATTTTCATCTGTCATATCAAGGAGAAACTCTGTCTTCTGTATCTTACCAGTCTTATCTGCCTCCTGAATATAGATTTACTATTACAAATACTGTTGAAACAACATTCATAAATGTATTGGGGAAAAATAATTTGACATTGCATTTCAGCATAATATTGCTGAACCTGACATTTTCTGATAAACACAGAACTTTGGATGAAGTTAACAAGAAAAAAATAACTAGAGTTTGATTCAGGAAAACACCCCTTGAAGTTTTCTCATGAATGATGCAACTTCAAATGTTAATGAGACACTGGGGAATTGACAATACTCCTATTATTACCTAAATTACTGTTTTCCATTCCGTTGCCCAATCCATCTCTATAGCCCATGAGCAAGACTGACGATCATCATTTGGAAAAACTTATAAAACTCCGTATGATGCTGATATCTCCTTGTAGGCTAAGGGAGGGTACTGCCATTCATTTGTGTGAGCGATTCATATGCATACTTTAGGTATCTTTCCAATATTTGATTTTACATGTTTCTTCTTTCTACACTAATGCAGTGTTATAAAATGGATCCACATGTTTATTTTAACATTGGGACATTTTAATTTTCATGCAAGGTTAATGACTCAACTGAAGAGATAAAGAGACATAATTAACTAAAGGACGATTGTGCTTTCTGCTTCTCTAGTATGTGCATTGTGCGCAAATTTTCTGACAGTCCGTGTATTAAAACAGCCACAATGGAATCATTCACACTCCAAGGAGGCACTAGAACAACTAGCAATGAAGGCCTCTAAAAGGATGTTGAGAGAAATACGGGAATTGATTTTTGGACATGTTTAATAAACAGGATCATCATGTTAATGTTTACTTTCCTTCTTCTTCTGATATGTCACACTGTGTGCAAGAGACATTCTATCAATTGCACCACGACTGAGGATCCCCTCCCTATTCCACATAAATTCTACCAGCCAGGTGATGCTGTCATTGGTGGGATTGTCTCTCAGGTCCTCTTTCTTTATAATATCCTCTCTTTCGTGCAACAGCCTGCACAGACACTGCTTGGTGAACCCATGTAAGGCATAATTTCTTCTCTCCCTCTCTTTAATATATTCAGATCATAATGGGAATGATTCTTATTCTAGCCAGAACAATTTCTTCACTTGTTCATGTATGCTAAGTTGGAGTATACATGAAGTTAAACACAATGAGGTGAGGTGGAGTGAAACATTTCTGAAGTTTCTATACAATGACTAGTATGCATAAATCTATTTACTCCTCATTCCTGTCATCCTTTGTCCTCTCTCATTCACTTCCAGGTTTCTCATTTTTAGATTTATTTTATTTTCATAATGTTTAATTCCTGCTATTACATTCCTCACTGAAATTTCCCTGACTTATTTCCATATTGTACAGAAATAAGCCTGAGTTAACTGAAGAAATGGAAAGCACCACCAATTTTGATTCACTGGTCAGATAATGTGTTTGATTGAAAGCATTTACAGGCACAATCAGGTCCCACTAGTTTTTACCTCTATATTAAGAATCGGACAAATAAAACGTCATAATAATATTCATTTCTTAAAAATAATAATATTAATATTCTGCAACATTCATTCCTCTGTCTAATCTGGAACATTGCCTTCAAATGCAGATGTGGTTGTGGAACTTTGAAATGCTCCAGGTTCTTTCCACTTTAATACTTATGTCACATTGAATGTCATTAATATCCATGTGATTGACCTGAATTTATATATAACAGGGATCAGACAATACAAATGATCTACTATTAATTTCCTGAACTGAATTCATGCCATTATATATTTCTTGTTTCTCTCATCCCTTTTGTACAAAGATTCACAATAGAGCATAGATACTGAATCTACTTTTGTAAGTACAAGATTTTTTAGAGCTTGTATTTAAGAAGTAAGAACATTGCAACATATATGAGTTTTTTGTATGATCTTTTAAATTTTTAAATGCCATTTTTATGTAAACAATACAACTCTAATAAATTAATGCCACACTGTATTAAGTATTTGAATGATGCAAAAATATTTAGAGCATTTATACATCCATTTCAGAGGTCTTACTTTCTTTTATTTTCCTCCATTACTTTTCCTTCAAGTGCTATCTGATTATTTTAAGCTATACTTCTGTCTTGAAAGCATACAGTTGATTGATTATGTGGAGTACAAATGTGGATTTTTTTTGTTCTTTGTTTTTTGTTTGTTTGATTGTTTGGTTGGCTTTTTTCTTGGATAAAGATCCTTTAACTTTTTTTAAACAGGTCAGTACCTAAGAACTACCAGCATGTCCTGGCCTTGGCATTTGCAGTAAAAGAGATCAATGAGAACCCACAAATCCTACCTAATATCTCCCTGGGGTTCCATATTCTCAATAGCTACTACACAGCAAGAATGACCTTCAAGGCCACCCTCAACCTTCTTTCCACACAACACAGGTTTGTCCCCAACTTCAAGTGTCACACCCATAGTAATGTGATAGCTCTCATTGGAGGATGCTTCTCTGAAACTTCTGCCAATATGGCCATCTTTTCAGCAACTCATAAGACCCCACAGGTAAGAGGGTACATGTGCGTGTGAAATTTTCACAGGTGCAGCATAGCATCTTCTTCATTTCAACAAAGCATTTGACAAAGTGCTCCATGAACTTTCAGTTAGCAATCTATTTACATGCAGGTAAAGTGACAACATTGTTAAGTGTATTTATCATGTTGGAAAACTATCTCTAAAAATTGCCTCCTTATCTAACACAAAGAGGTTTTGAATGCTCTTCATTCTTCATTGCTTTCTCATTTTCTGATTTTTAGATGCATATAGATAAAGATATGGAAGGAATTCATATCAAACATGACATACAAGAAGGGTAACATTCATAATGATCGTGACAGAATCCAAAATTGGCCAAAGAGTAACAATATGGAATTCAACAGAGATAAATGCACATTTCAAATTAGATAGCAGAACAAAGCAAGACCCTGCAAAAGATATGAAAATGACCTCACTTGTGTAAAGCAGCTGTTAAAAAGAAGTCTAAGGCTTCAATGCTATCCAGAAAACAAATAAATAAAGTCATGATCTATGGTAAAGAAAAAGAGTTAAAGCCACACAGTTTTCAACCAAAAAGAAGGAAAATTGTGAGTTATTTACACAATGATTAATACCAAATCCTCCCTAAGGAGGCAGAAATAAGGAGAGATCAATAACAGGAGAAAATGTTATTTTTTCTCTCTAACCATATCAATCATGTGGACAAGATGGTGAGTGCAATATGCAAACATAGTACCACGGTAGTTTCAAACTGTGCTTTATGAATTGTGAACTGCACAAAGAACTTCAGCTGTTGGGTAGTATTTGCTGTCTCCAACTTATGGAAACCCGATGAATGAAAGCCTTCCAAAATGTCCTGTCCATGCCTGCTCCATTTAGTTCTCCCAAGTTCAACATATATTTCTTTTTGGATTCAACTCATGTCATAGTTGGTCTTCTACCTTGACTTTCCCTGCCTTCTCCAGGAAGTCTTGCCTTCTCATAATGTGTCCAAAATATGACAGCCTCAGTTTTGTTGCTTTTACTCCTAGGGGTTTAGACTATGTCAGTCCATGGCATTCGCAAAGCTCTCTTACAGCACCATATTTCAAGTGCGTCTATTTTCTACCTGTCAGCCTTCTTCACTGTTTACATCAGGAATCCAACAGTGTGGATGATCTTGGCCTTGGTCTTCAGTAAGACATCCTTGTTCTTGATGATCTTTTCTAGTTCCTTCATTGTCACCCTTCCTAGTATCATCCTTCTTCAAATTTATTGGCTACAGTCTTCCTTGGAATTGATGACAGAGCCAGGATTTGGGATATCTTTCACAATTTCAATTTCTTCCTTATTAACAGTAAAATTCTGTAATTCATCTGTAGACAGAATTTCTGTGTTCTTCATATTCAGCTGCAAATCTGTTTTTGTACTTTCTTCTTTCACTTTTATCAGGATTTATTTCAAGTCATTACCAATTTCTGCCAGTAGTATATCATCTGCATATTGTAAATTAGTGTTGTTTTTTCCAGCAATTTTCACTCCCTCCTCTGAATCTAATCCAACTTTCCTTATGCTAAGTTCTGCATTCAGATTGAACAAATATGGAAATAAATACACTTTTGTTTGAAACCTTTGCCGGGGGGAACCATTCTGTTTCTCCATATTCTGCCTGAACTCTAGCTTCTTGTCCATGATTCAGGTTATGCATAGGTACAATCAAATGCAGAGGGACACCCCTTTTTTTCAGATCCATCCATAGCTTTTCATGATCCACACAGGCAAGGGCTTTTCTGAAATACTTTAGTGTGCTCCAATAGCCAACATATATTTGCAATATGAACCCTAGTGCCTCTTCCTTTTCAGAAACTAGCTTTGAAATCTGGTATTTCTCAATCCAGAGAAATGCCATAGGGTAGGAGTGGTGGGGTTGTGTTCTTTGTTGCAACACTTTTAGCATTACATTGCTTGGATTAATGCAGTGTTCCCATGGTTGCTGTACTCTTTTGCATGTATCCAGACCTTTTCCTATTGCTTCAGGAATTGTCTTTTGGCATTGTTCCCTAATAACTCTGGTGTCCATTTCTTATTTCTTACCTTCCCCTTTCCCCTGCAAATTGTTGGTCTGCTGATAAGCATTGTATTAAAATGCTTACTTTAAACTACATAAAATAGAATTTTGAAGAAGAAGAGTCTTTCATGCAATCCAATACAAGAATACATAATTCTCAAAGTTTGAGGTAAGAACACTTTGGTCCCTTCAGAGATCATAACTAAAATGCCACTAATATTCAGGATATCATTTCTGATACAAAAAAGTGGGTGTTTTCTTCATCCCCCCCCTTAAAAAACCCATTTTATCTCCACAAAAGTTTACTAATTATCAAGAAATTATCAGGGTTTGTACAGTGAACATCTCTTAATGACACTTGAAAATGTCATCACTATAGAACGAATTGTTCACATTTATGAGAATTGAATGCCCCCTTGCTCTATTCACCACAACATTCTGGAATACTATTTACACATGGACCTTAACATAGACACCACAACTGTAGCACATCAGACAGTGTTTCCTAAGAATATTCCCCAGTGAATTCAGAATCTTCTGAGTAGGCAAGTCTCCAATTGAACTTTAACACAACTTTAGCCTACATTAGTTAGTTTCCAAGCCACAAAAAGTAGGAATTCTGTAGTTCATACTGGTGAAACCATATTTTTTTACACTGAGTACAGTATGGCCCTTTAAGGCTATAAACAAACTGGAAGGCATTCAGAGAGGGGAAAGAAGGTGATGAGGAGTAAAAAAAAAAATCCTGTGATGAACAACTGAAACAAAATGTTCAGGTTTAGCTTGAAGAAGAGAAATCTCATGGTGGGAGATCTTACAGCTTTTCAAAAATCAGAATTCACAGTAGCGAAGAGAGAGCAAAGACTGTCCCTCTGCTCTTCAGAAGGCATGTCTAGATTTTTCAGAAATGCAATTCAGTAGTACACACAGTTGAACAATAGAAATTGAAGTGAGGGAAGCTTTTCTAATGGTGGTCTTTTAGGAAAAGTCTCTGCATCAGCTTGATGGGGGACATTTAATTTAGGTTCCCCGCATCATATGAGGTGCTGTTTGACTAGATGAACTAGACTGCTACTCCGCCTTTCTATAATTTAAGATTCTCCTCTAACCTATCTAAAAATGCTTAATTTCAGCTCACCTATGGCTCATTTTTGCCATCACAAGGTACTGAAAAGCAAATACCATTTTTGTACCAGCTGGTCCCTAGAGAAGCCCAACAATACATGGGAGTCATGCAAATGCTTCAGCACTTTGGATGGACATGGATTGGGCTCCTGGCTGTGAACGATGACAGAGGAAACAAGTTTCTACAGACCATGGTACCAATGCTTTCCCAGCATGGCATCTGTGATGCTTTCACATTCAAAATTCCAAAATGGGATTATGTGGATGAAATTATTGACTATACGTTAAACAACTGGGATAGCTATGAAAACATCATTAAGAGCAAAGCCAATGTTTTCTTTGTCTATGGAGAACCTCCATCTTTCCAGATATTGAGATTGTTGCTCTTTTCAGCACCCTTCTTGGATTTGCCCCCCATGAATAAATTGTGGGTTATTACATCCCACTGGGATTTTGCATCATTTTCTTTCCAAAGGAATTGGGATATGCAAACATTCCACGGTTCCATATCCTTCACTGTTCACTCAGATCAGCCATTCAGATTCCAGAAGTTTGTCCAAACAATAAATCTTTCCTGGGCAAAAGGGGATGGTTTCATCAAAGACTTCTGGCAACAAGCATTCAACTGTTCCCAAGAAAAGTCTGAAATGTATGAAACCTGCACAGGGGATGAGAAGCTAGAGACTGTTCCTGGAAGTTTTTTTGAAATGAACATGACTGGACACAGTTATAATGTCTACAACGCTGTCTATGCTGTGGCACATGCTTTGCATGCTGCATATGAATCTGGCTCCAAACACAGAAGATCACTAGAAAGAGGGAGACTTGCTATTCAGAATGTGCAACCATGGAAGGTAATTTGGGGAAAAAACCCATTCCAAATAAATAGTCCCTATTTGGACATTGATCCTACCACCACATTGGGTTGGATCCAAGCATATTTCTCCTTACATTAGATGCACATATACACATGACTAAAAATTAAACCCATTATATAATAGTGATTTCTTTAATAGTTTTAATCAGCCACCATCATGGAGCCTGTTGGAGCAACAGGAAACTAGGAATATTAAATCACCACTTCCACTGCTAAGGAAACAGTGTAATTCAGATGTTGGTCGAAACAAGCCCTTTTGATCAAATAGACCTTTTGTTCATATTTTCTTCCAATTTAGCTCCATCACTTTCTAAATAGCATTTCATTCAATAACAGTGCTGGACAGCTTGTGCACTTCAATGAAAATGCAGAACTGGTTGCAGGGTTTGATGTCACAAACTGGTTGATACATCCAAATGGCTCAGTTGTTAGAGTCAAAGTTGGAAGACTGGATCTACAGGGTTCTTCAGGCAATAAATTGAGCATTAATGTTGACCAAATCATTTGGCATCACAGTTTTAATCAGGTGAGTCATAGCTGCCAGTGCTTCAATATAAAAACCTTGGAATTCATTGGGATGTCAAACAGAAGAGGGTTTTTTTTTTTTTTTTTTTTTTTTGGTAAACCAAACTTTTGCATAAACCCAGAGAAACAGTTTGGTAATTTTGGGCATAATTGACTTATGGGGATGGGAAGTGTCCTATAGATGACAGTGTGAGTTATTTCAGTTACTTTAAAAGTGTTAAGCCATCCTGACCACATTTGAAGATGCTCCTGCATGTTGTACAGAGAGGGTCTCCTAGGCAAGGGCCCCAAGGTCCTGCCCCCATGGTACTAATGCATTCAAGGTGTGTTCAGTGCTGCCCAAAGTTCATAAAATCTGTTATTATAGCATAAAGAGCTCATATTTATCATCTTCCTATATGTTATAGGCATGAGGCTACTATGCATTTTCTATAGTCACATGTACGGATGAAGAATTAATAATCAAGCCAGTTGATATTTGAGATGATCCAATTTTTGCAGTTCTATAGATTGTCCAGGAAATCAATAGTAAATGACAGAAAGAAGGCATTGCTTGTAGCCTCCTCCATTTGATCACAACACTTCCAGTCAACAGAGGAGTGTGGAAAGCATTTCGGCGCATGTTGCATATTCATTCATTTTCTCTTGTTTATACAATATAGTTTGATCCACATTTAGTCATCCTGAGTCAAACTCTTAAAATCAAATGAAATTATGTTGCATCTGACTAATTTAAGAATATTTGCTCAGGATGGTTAAATCTGAATCCTATCCAAAATCTCTGTAGAAAGGAAAACTGAGTTGGTTAGAGAAGTTCTTCCTATCAGCATTGCCTTCTTCCCCATATGAAGCCCAGCTCCTTGGGAATGAAATGCATAGGCATTTCTCTTAGATTTTGTGATCACTGGTGAACAGAGCATCTCAATCTTATGAGCCATGGGTCAGAATGAGTCTCTTAAGTCTAGGCAGTATATTCCTTTTCTTTCAGACAAAGGTCTCTCCAAATCCAACCTGAAAGACAATTTTGTGTCTCTTGAAGGTGTGAGCAAGGATTAATGGTTAGTGAAGTTCCCATCCAACCCTAGCTCAGGGGAAATTTGTAGAGCACCTGAAATGTCACCATTCAATCAATCAGAGTTAGCAAGCCACAAGCACAGACACTGTCTACAGTCAGAATGGCTTGTGTATAATGAATGAACCATGCTGCTAGGTTCAGATAAAATGTTAAACTTCTTTGAAATATACATGGATCATGGCCTGCCATGGCTAATTGTATTGTGCATACCTATTTTCAAGACACCGGCTCAAACTTTTCCTTATTTTCCATGCTTCCGTACAGAGCCTGCCTCTTTCTGTGTGCAATGACAACTGCTATCCAGGTAGCAGCAGGAAAAAGAAGGACACAGAGCCATTTTGCTGCTATGACTGTGCTGCATGTCCAAAAGGAATGATCTCCCACAAGAATGGTAGGAGGCATCAGGGACAGAAATAGCCACATACTGTATCTTATTAATTACTTTTTATTGGAATAATGTGTACCCCTTGAGTGCATATGAAAATGCTCCTCAACACAGAATTTAAAAAAGAATCTAATGACTAAATACTTATATTTTTGGACAGATAAAATAGAAAATAGAATGGCTAAACACCATCTACTACCTATTAGGTTCAACACCTCTCAGAATAAACAGAAGTAAAGATGGAATGGCTGGCTTCCTTTGGCAGGCAGTTCCACTGCCTAAATATGTATTGATTTCTCTGTTGAGTGCGTGTAGGGTCATTTCCTTAATGTGGAGGTCTGGTACAAACAAAAGAAACACATGAACATAGTAAGGCCCCAAGCAGATGGGAACTCTGGAACTGTGAGCTGGACTATACAGCCCTCTGTGTGAGAAATGAGCAGGTCCAGATTGCCATCTTCAGTAGGATGGCCACATGATGTGCCAAGAGAATGTGGCTTGGGATTTAAGTGCATTCCAAATTCAAATGACAAATCAATGGTCTTTTTTTTTTTTTTTGTAAAGCCACTACCCAAAAAATGGCAACTATAATACTGCATGGAATGGGAAAGGTGCAGTCCAGCAATCTCACTTGTTAGAAAGGTTTGCCTTACTGCTACTTCCACCTAACACCAAGAGCTAAGTCAAGGAAAAGGTAAATTTTACTAAGGGATACCAACTGAGCTCATAGCTACAGATATGAATTAGGGCTTCCCCATCTTTTGTGCTCATATACAAGATTACAAAACATGAAATTAAAACAACTCGTACATAATAGGGGAGAAAGAAGAACACTAAATGCATTTTACTTCTCTTTTCAACAGATGTTTGCTAGTTTATTTTTTTCAAATGCTTAACCAACCTTTCCCTTTTTCAGACATGGATGCCTGTGTCAAATGTCCAGAAGACCAGTATCCCAACAACGAACAAACCCAATGCATTCTGAGGGATCTGAGCTACCTCTCATATGGAGAATCTCTGGGGATTGTCTTGACTTTCTTAGCTATTTGTTTCTCATCCAGCACAGCTTTGGTGCTTGGAATTTTTCTCAAGCACAAGGACACCCCCATAGTCAAAGCCAACAACAGAAGCATCACCTACATCCTCCTCAGCAGTCTCCTCCTCTGCTTCCTCTGCCCCTTGCTCTTCATTGGGCAACCTGGAAAGGTGACCTGCCTTCTCCGACAAATGGTTTTTGGCATTATCTTCTCTGTGGCCCTTTCCAGCATCTTGGCCAAAACTATTACTGTAGTTCTGGCATTTGTTGCCACCAAGCCAGGGTCCAGCATGAGGAAAAGGATGGGGAAAGGACTGGGCAATTCCATTTCTCTTTCTGGTTCCTTGATTGAAGCAGTCCTTTGTATGCTTTGGCTAAGCATAACACCTCCATTTCCAGATGTGGATGTGCATTCACTGGATGACCAAATCATTCTGGAATGCAATGAGGGCTCTGCTCCCATGTTTTATTGTGTCTTGGGCTATTTGGGAATCCTGGCTATAGTTAGTTTCATTGTTGCTTTCCTAGCCAGGAAGTTACCTGACAGTTTCAATGAGGCCAAGTTCATTACTTTCAGCATGCTGGTCTTCTGCAGTGTGTGGTTGTCCTTTGTTCCAGCCTACCTGAGCACAAAAGGGAAGTATGTGGTGGCTGTGGAGATCTTTGCCATCTTGTCATCCAGTACTGGGCTACTGGGTTGCATCTTTGGCCCCAAATGCTACATTATTGTTGTCAGGCCTGAGCTGAACAACAGGGAACACCTAATAAGAAGGAAGAATTGAAAGCATAGAACATTCTCTTAATTCTCAGGAATATTAAAGAGATGCTGAAAATGCTTATGGTAGAGATGTGCAAAAGATAGGAATAGAGCGCTTGCAAAGGTGAACACTCCTGCTTGAATTCTTTTGTGCACAGGTAAGCAGATATGTTCCCTTCAAATGGATCCCTTTCTTAAGTCAGCTTAAGAGACATGCTACCTGATACCCTGGCCACAAGGAATGTTTCATCATGGAAATCAGAGAAGATGAAAGGTGATCTTGACATCTACCCTTCTGCCTGCCTTCTGACATATACCCTACCCTGTTAGTAAAATGAAGATGCTACCAGGATAGTGCACTAGTGTCTTTTTCTGGATGAAGGATGGGCATTGTAGTGCCACTAATCCAAAAGAAGCTGCCCAAAGCACTGCACTAGCAGATTTATTTGCTTATTTTTTTTTTTCTTTTTGCATTTGCATGCCACCTCAAAGCCCAATGGCTCTCTGGGCAGCTCATAAGAAACCACAAGTTCTTCACCTGCTTACAGTCACCTGTGCAGGAGAAATCCAGCAACCATGGGTCATCACTCAAAGCACCTTTGTTGCTGCCTGCTCCTGCGTGCAGGGCTGTAAGTTAAAACATTTCCCTTTGGCAATATGACCTGTGTAGTAAGTATGAGAGAAGAATGGGATCATTCCAAGAAACCACTTGGAAACCCAGATTTCTTTTTGGAATGAGCAGTGGAATATGTGTGCCTCTCCAACTAATAGAGTGAGGAAAAGTTTACAAGCTCAAAAGGCGAATCTCAAAAGACCCCTGGTGGGAACACCAAAAGATCTTAAATTGCCCTGGAACTAACTGCAATTCGCAAGTACTTGTTTCTTTTCTGGATCAAATATAGCTTTTCTCCAACGCAAGTATTTTACATCTCCTAGGGGCATCTAGAGGCATCTGTGCTAATCAAAGCTTTGGATCAAAGCAGTAAGGGCATGGCTGAGAATTCAATGGAATGTGGATGCCAATCTGCAAATAAACAAGCTGTTCTGAATAGGTGTGTCTGGGCATCTTTGTGTGTGTTTTCTGGTTAATTTCAGTCACAATAGCAATTGCTCAGAGATCACACATTTAGTTAAGTTGTAGACGGTTGCTAAAGAAAGCTGAAGATTCACAACTGAGATTAAGAAGGGAAAGGCAATAAATAAAGTCTGCAGGAGGTCCATCTGAGGATCAGAGGAACAACTCAGTATACATATGTAGAGCATTTCTACACATACTTAATTGTGCATTTTCCATTCCACGCCCATGGTAGTTTGCAGATGCTTAGATTACTGGTCAGAGCATTTATACTTTCTGCATGGAGTGGGGGATGGGATTGATCAAAGAAAATCTGGATTTTGGGTGGAAATGGAAGGAAATGTTACTGCAATTCCACAAATGTCCTGTGACACAGCATCATGTAGATGAGATTCTTGAGTGGAATGCACCAAAAGGCAAAGAAAGAAAGACTCCCATGATATAGATCAGCTCTTAGTCCTCTAAGGAACTGCAACTGTAGAGGGTTATAAGTGGAATGTTAAGAGCTTGTCAGGAAAAGTCTCTAAGCTTCAAAAAAAAAGTGGAAATATGCAAACCTGATTGATTGGAATTGGGAAAGAATGATTTAAGATAGGAAATAAATTTTTGGAACTATGCTTATCTAGTTAATTTTTTCTGTAAAATGGAAAACACTGCTACTTGAAATGTTGTCAAACACTGTTTAAAGATTTCATCCCATAATTACCACAACTGGTTCTTAAGACTATTTTGCAAAGATATTTATTGTCATCTTTTGACACCTGTACTTCTTTAGGCTTCAATTGGGAGCCTCCAGTAATATTGAGGATGGATCTGTTGACAAAACCTAGCAGATATTGATCCCATTAATTGTTCCATAGCAACTTCAGTAAGTTTATTTTCTTTTTTGGAAGTATTCGACAACTGCCAAAATGTGAACTGTCAGGTGGGTCCAAATGCATAAATTCCTTGTTCACCTCCTCTATGGCAAGATCTTCAGTGCCTTTTTGTCTGATTTTGTTGCTAAATGAGTGCCCTCAGTTTTAAACTAGTTCCAGAGATTCTATCATCTAGGGAGCATGCAAAAGGGAAAGCCTTTTGAAAGCTTTTGCCCTTCTAACGTTACAGTGTGATTTAGAAAAGGTTACAATTTTCCTTTTTAGCAGCAAACTATAAAAGTGGATGGTTTCTTCCTTTAATTGTGAATTTCAATTCATTGCAATCTTTCTTGAACTGAAACTTAATTGAGAAGAGGTGTCTTTACACACTAACAAGAGATTGGCAACACACAGGGAGTATCTTTTGAGTATGCCATCACCTCCCATGCTCTGAGTAGCTTTTTCAAGAGTACTAGTTCTTGCCCCACACCCAATGTGTGTTTTCCTTCTTAATTAGGGGCATCTACCTATACATTCTGGTTGGGGCAGCATGCAGGATCAAAAAAGGGGTTTCTGCATGCATGACATCAACTGGTGAATTCCAACCTTGCTTGGTGAAGTGGTTTGGCTCACACCTCACCCTCAGCCACCCTGACAAATCCACTCTGCCATTTAGAAGGGCTATCAATGTGAGCTTAGGTGTCTGGGCATTGACATGGTCTACATGCACAGACATGTAGTTAGATAAGCCTATTTCTTCCACTTATCAAGACCTCAGATTCCTGATAAGAGCATAAACAGTTATCACTCATAATAGCTTAGCAACGTTAGGAAGGTTAGAATGATCCCCTGCCAATTGCTATTGTGCATCATGGAATCTTTTTTTCACTCATGGAGCACAGTAACGGAGACATTCTGCTGTGTCCTGTTAGCCCCAGAGACCATCATTACATATGAGCAGCTCACTTTAAGAAATCAGGATGTAAGTATGTAACATGTAAGTATTGATATGCAGATCACATATGGATCATTCCTGGCAGGGCAAGGTGGAAAATCCTCTTCCCTTTTCTGTACCAGATGGTCCCAAATGAAGCCCTACAATACTTGAGAATTGTGTGGCTACTTCAGCATTTCAGATGGACATGGATTGGGCTCTTGGCTGTGGATGATGACAAAGGGCAAAGGTTCCTGCAGACAATGGTGCCCATGCTTGCCCAGGATCTCATCCATGATGCCTTCATAGTGAGAATTCAAAAAAATGGATTATGTGGAACAGGTAACAGAAGGAAAGTTGTAGCACTGGAGAAGCTAAAACACTATCAGTGAGAGCAAAGCCAATGCGAACGTTGTATATGGAGATCCTCCCGCTTTTCAGTCTTTGACTTTTTTGTTCTTTCTAGCACCCTTATTGGACTTGTCACCACTGGGTAAATTGTGGATTGTTACTTCCCACTGGGATTTTGGAATAGTTCCTCTTCAAAGGATATGGGATATGCAAACCTACCATGGCTCAATAATCTTCTCTGTTCACACTCATCAGCCATTAAGTTTCAAAAAGTTTGCACAGGGAATTAGCCCATCATGGACAAAAGAAGATGGCTTTATTCAGGACTTCTGGCAACAGTCATTCAACTGTTTTCTAAAACTGTCTGATGGGTGGCCAGAGGCCAAGGATACCTGCTCAGGGCATGAGAAGCTGGAGAGCCTTCCTAGGACAGTCTTTGAAATGAAGATGACTGGTCATAGCTATAATGTGTACAATGCTGTCTATGCTATAGCACATGCTTTGCATGCCATCTATGTGACTAGTTCCAAACATGAAAGATTGGAAAAAAGAGCAAGTCTGGAATGTCTGAATTTGTATTCATGGCAGGTAAGTGCATTAGATGCAGACAACTTTGATATAAAACAATGTCAGCAGAAAGGTTCCTGTTCATATATTTGTATAGGTGGTACAAGCCTCAATGGATAGGATCCACATTTAGTCATATGTGAAGCAGATCCCAAATCAGTGGGACTGTAGATTTGAAAATGTAAGTTCTATCCCTCTCCAATGCAGAGGCTGTAACCATTCTGTTCTTCCAGAGAGAGAACATGGAACTGATGAAATAAAACATACACACTCGTTCTTATATGATAAGCAGCACTTACTCTGTGATTGGGGGAGTGATTCCAAAGCAACAATCCCTGGTGCTCTTCCAAATCAACTGAAGGACATAAGAGCTTAGCATGATTCCTGAAAGCTATCCTGACTTTTCACCACTAGACACATTCTCTAGGATGTATATGAACATTCCTCACAATTCTTCTGCTACAGCTCATCTTATACATACAGCATCATTAGGATAAAGCCCTTCATTCATTTCACTAACTTTATCATTAGCAGAAGAGTGGAGCAGCTGCATTCCAATGGGGAACTTATTCCACAGTTTTAGATCAACACAGGAGAAGGCCTTTTCACATGTTCCCAATGGATAGGTCTGTGCAATTGATGGTGCCTTCAAGAAGAATTCTATGATAGAATGCAATAGTTGGGCAGATTGGGACACAACAGCCCTTCAGGAAGCAAGGTCCTGAGCCATTTAAGAGACACTCTTGTGCATGCTTAGACAAGAAGTACCCTACATCTTCCAGTCAGCCATGATGGCTAAGCCATGCTGGGAGTTGAAGTGCACAGGATTGCAGCCTTGCATTAAGAATAACCTGTTCATTTTACAAATAGTCCCAAAAATGGGATTGGCAACCAATGCAGGTCTTTCTGGACAAGTGCAATATGAGCCCAATATTGGAAGGAATGATTCAAGGAAAAGGAATTGCAAACCAGGGCTCATTTATGTGGATAAGTCTTTTGTCTTCATTTCAGATAGGATAGCCCCACATTCCTCTAAAACTAAAGTTGGGACAAAAAAATAACTTGACCTCTCCCCCCCGCCCCCACTCTCTCTCTCTGCTGTGTGTGTGTGTTGCTGTTGCTCTCACTCTCCCTGCCATCCTTTCTTGCAACACCCCTAAAAGATTGTTGTTTCTGTCTTCTCAGAACATATCATGCCTTTGTTCCCTCAGCAATCAGTCTTACGTACCCAATGCAATATA